GTTGACTGTGTCTTTCCTTTATATATGTTTTATTGTCTCAACCAAATGGTACAAACGGTATAGTCCTTCCATGAAAAAAAGAACATTTCTTTTGAATATCACCAGGAGAGTGCTTTTCAGATCCTCTAGCTTCATATACCAGCAAAATTTAAAAGAGGGGACACTGCTTTTGGTGGGGAGGTGATCAAATGTGTACACGCATGATCACTGGGGCACCTACTTGGGTTGTCTCTCCAAACTCATTTCCCATGGTCACAGCAAGTACAACCAACTTCTAACACAACAATTCCTGAACAGGGATGGAAGATAAGTGCTAGATGAATCTGTTTCCTGTTGTCTGGGTGGGTACAGGGAAAACTCACAGCAGCTGGTGACACATTTTCCATTATGAGGACTAGGAAGAGGTCCTCTGCAGCAAGAGCAGAAATGGAGCAAATGCGCAGTGAAGACCAGAGAGAAAAGAGAAAGTGTGGTCATGTTGGCACTGGAGTCCCTGAGTCACAACCTTTGGATGCCATTACATACTCCCTGCACCTTCACAATAAATTTCTGCTCTTGCTTATACCAGTTAGATGGATTTCTATGACTTACAGCCAAAATTAGCCTACTTACCACCACTACCATCTACTCTTATCATTTCCTAAAGGGACATTTTAACACCAAAACTTCAGGAAGAATAGAATCTCACACGTAAAAAGAAAAGGAATATTTACTTAATGATAGCAATGTGCCTGGGACAGGTCTAAGTCCTTGAAATATAATGTTAAACAAAAGAGATAAAATCACTCTTTTCTCATGGGACTTACATTCTGGTGAAAACATACAGACAATAAAATAATATACACTTCAGTTGTAACAAATGGTTTGCAAAAGAATGAAAAGGCAATGGGGTAGTGGGAAATGAGGCCAGTGTTACTGTGAAAGGATAGTTAGATAGCACTGCTGGTCTGAAAAGGTAGTATTTGAAGGGAAACCTGAAATGATGAAAAGACGGCAGTCACGTAAGGCTTTAGGAAGAGAATCCCAGGCAGAGGGAACAATACTAAGTCGAAAACAAGCCATGACATTTCTGAGAGACATAAAAAAAAAAGGGCAGTGCAGATGGAATGCAGTGAACAAGGGAGGTGAGGGAACTGGTAAAGAAGGAACGGACCTAAGAGGAACAAGCACAGTGGTAAAGTAATGTTCACGTCATGTATAGAAACTGGTAGGCAATGGAAAGGATTTTAAAATAACTTGAGCTTTATTAAAAACTCACTATATTAACTTTAATTCTCCTTTTGTCTCATATCAGTGATGACTTTAACATACAGGCCTGTAGAAATTCTCGTCCTCAAGTATTTGACACAATCCTGAGGTTAGCCAGGAATGAACATTTCCTAAGCAGAAAATAGCTCTTCTCATACTGTGTGATTTTTTTTTTTAAAGAAAGTTAGGACAAAAGCAAAGCCACCTGAAAGGAAATAAGAACAATCTAGGATAGCGGGATGATAGGAACTACCCTACATTCTGTCTGGTTTATTATACTTGTAATGCATCTGCTATGATCAAGACTGTACAAAGGCCTTAAGGAAGAACATAAACGCGTAAATTCTAAGCTCTTGTAAACATAACATCCTTCCTTAACTGAGTTCACTGTTATTCAATTCAACATTAACATGGTTAAATACCGTCAGATGGGAAAAAGTGAAAAACCAGACTTCTGACTTGACAACAGCCACAGCTGAGTGGCTAACAAAGTTGTGTTTTAATCTTATCCCTATTGCTATGATAAAGGGAGAACTTGCCTAGGTGGTGAAATTAAGTGCAAGGGATGCTTCAACATCTCTCCTCTGAGAGCTTTTTCAAAGGAGACAAATCTGCTCAAAAAGCTTTGGAGATAGTGCACCTCGCAGAACAGCGAGGCTCTCCACAGATCTTTCCAGACAACCAATATCGGTGTACACTAAGCAAGTGATTAAACCTGCACTGCTTCTGACATTATTGTCAGTAAAGTCAGATCTTTGAAAGCTCTAATGTATTCATGAATCTCATCTTTCACTGTTAGGTATTTAGTTAGCCCACTTAACAGTAGACCAAAAAGTAGACTGTTAATAACACAATCTATAAAAGGGAGGTACTTTGGGAGTGTGATGGGAGCTAAAGAAATGAGAGTCATTACACACCTTGATCCAGACTTGATTCTGAGTGCATCCTCCCCAAGACATTTCCAGCAGTTTGGCAAGGCGCCCGGGGATGATTAGCAGCCAGTGCACGTGAGGGAAGGATAAGGTCTACCTAAATTGTAAAGTCTCCCCCCAGTGGCCACATAAAAATAGCAGGGAGAGTAGGGAAATCATTGCAGCTTGAATGAGACTGACCAAAAATACTCTAAACAGAACCTGGTCCCTACAATGGAGAAATAAAACCTTTAATTGAATACTAGCGCCATAGCAGTGAGGAGATCTCTTACACTTATCTTGCTCTTATGACATTCATAATTGTGAAGACTATTTTTGAAAGAAAAGAAGCTACAGGTAAAACAAAAAGTAGCATAATTTTTCAAGGAATAACTTAACGATATCCTCAAACAGTCCAGTCTTGTTTTCATCTAACGGGCAGGTATTTATCCATCCTGAAGCAAACACAAACACATCTCTTGCAAGTTAACTATATCCACTTGAAGTAGAGTTCTGATACAAATTTAGTCACCAAATAAATCACCTTGGAAAAGAAAATTATCATCAGCAGTATATACCTAATGTCTAACTTGCAAAATACTACTTTTCAAAATCACCTATAACTAGGTAATTTATAATCAAGTAAGTGATGTCAAAATTACAAATGGTTCCTCTTGCCTCTTAATATTTATTTTCTTGTTTTTATAATTAGATAGCCTTTGACCAGGACTATCTCTTATTATTTACAACTGTCAGCAATAATTTGCTGATACTACTTTTAACAAAGCTTGGATGTCAACAAATGTGGAAGTCATTTAATTAAAACTTAGGATGTCTTCTGCTAACCACCCGTTATTCAATGATGAAGTACATAAATAAACTTCAATAAATAAACAATTTCAATTTAAAAAAAGGCTTTTCAATAGGTAATATATACAGACAGGGTCTCATAATTATAATTTTCTTGGTTATCCCAAGCCAAAAACAGAGGGAGAAGGGGAGAGACAGCAGCAGGCTGTGTAGTCTTCTGGAACAATTTCAGCCTGAAATGAAACACAGAAAAAAAAGAAAGAAAGAAAAAGCAAACTGCTCCCTTGAATGTTTAAGAAAAATGTGATTCATTTTTTAAAAATCCAACAGTTGGCCTAGAGAACAGCATAAAATGATTCTGTCTTACATAGAGCCTACCAGACTTGCTTAAGCACCTTAATTTTTCCAGTGTTTATTGAATCTAGAATGTAAAAAAAAAATCATTTTGAAATCCCAAGTGGAAAAGGTATTAAGGTGGTATCAATCAGAAAAGGACACACACGCCCTCTGAATTTTTTTCCTGTTTAGTGTGCAATCTCACAGAGAAATTAAAAGTATTACCATTTGTATATTATGTAACCCTAGTCTAAAATAAACATGAACCTTAAAAAGTAACACATTGTGCAAACATATATTTAAACATGGGTTTAAGTATATGATAATTTCAGATACAAATGACCTCAAAGTGACACAACCCATGAAAGTTCCTTGTTTACTGTAATAAGGACTCCGAAGACGACTATAATCAGGCCTGATACCTTACCGTAACTGCACAGTAGATGCCTACAATAAGCAAAAATCCCGTGAGGTCTGGTGTTATACCTATGCACCACAAGGATCTCCGCATCGGTAACAGCGTGTTACCTAATATATTCGATATACATAAGTTTCCAAATGACCATTTGAAAGATTTCACGGGAAGAAATGGCTGCTAAATCATACTCCAATTGAAGACCATTTTAACGCATCTCAAATGTTCCAAGTCACATTACAAAAAGACCAATTCGGGAAGCAGAAAGTAAAATTCCAACAATCCCCGAGGGCGTAGGAAAGGGTAAATCGTGGCTCACTTGCCCTGTGTAAGTAATGCAGACAATTTCCTACGCTTCCCCATCAGCCTTCAATTCCCTTCCTCGCCTGCCCCCCACTCTCCCCACCCCCATTTACACAAACGATGCTCCAGCCGATGGAAGTTTAAAGGATGAAATCTCGAGCCCGTGAGACTGAGACTAAACTCCCAATAAAGTGTTAAAAAGTCCTGCAAAAAACATCCCCTGACCAATCCACAAGCTGTCATCAAACCGAGCCTAAGAGCCCTCAACTGACTCCCCCCTGCCCCTTCACCAAGGGCGGGAGAAGCCCCCGGCACCCCTCTGGTTCCAGACAAACGTAACCAGGATCGGAAAGCACCGCCTCGGCAACGAACGCCTCCGGAGCGGCGTGTGCTCGGCCCACAGCCACTTTAGCCAAAAAAACTGAAGTCCCGTGCCCGGCAAGTAGCAGCAGTAGTTGCATAAAGCCTCCTCCCCAGGAACTCGAAGCCAAGGAGCAAGCCCAGAACCGGCGGAATCGCCCCCACTCGGGACGACCCCGATAGTGGCAGTCTCGGCCACCGCCGCCCCGGCACGGTCCCCCGTTCGAGCTCTCACGCCGCAGAGGGTGCCGGCCTCCGCGCCCCCAGCCCCCGCCCCGCCCCGGGCTGGGCCAAGCAGGGCAGCGCGTGGGTAGAGCCGGCGGCGCGGCGGCCGGCAGCATGGGCCAGACACGTTGTCGCGCTGCGCCCCGGCCGGCGGCCCGCAGCCCGGGAGCCAAGAGCCCGGCGAAGGCGTCTGTCCCGCGTGGCCCAGCAAGGGGCGCCTGGCCGCCCTGCCCGGCCCCAGCCCCCGCCGGTGGGACCCCAGGTGCGGAGGGGGCGGGGCGGGCCCAGGTCCCCGCGTGGCGCGCGGTGGCCAGCAACAGGGCGCCGCCCCGCCCGACCCCGGAGCGCGGAGAGACCGTTATCCGAGAGACGTGGGACCCCCGGCAACTCACCGGCTCGCACCTCGGCCGCCTCCGCGCCGCCGCCGCCGCCGCTCCGCTCCGCTCCCCTCCGCCCGCTGCTGCTGTTCTCCGTCAGCCGCAGGCGCCGCGAAGCAGCCCCATCTACAAACTCGGGGCTCGGAGTTGGGAACTGGAAATGCGGTTCTCACTCCCCTCCGCCTCCTTCCCCCTCCGTCCCTACCCCGCTCCGCACTCCGCCTCGGCTCCGGTGGCCCGCACCGCTGTCGCCGCCACGCGCGCCGCTAGCTTCCCCTCAGCCTCCCTCCTCCTACTCCCGCCGCCGCTGCCGCCGGGGCGCGCTTCCCGGCCTCGCGCGTGCGCCGGACGTCCGGGAGCGCGCGCTCGGGCGGGCGCGAGGAGGCGCCGCCACCGCCTCCGGGAAGCCGGGCCCCGCCCCTTGGACCTCGGCGTGGCGGCCAGGTGGAGCCCCCCTCCGAGCGCCCGCAAAGGCGCAGGGGCCTGACTTCGCCGCCTGAGCCCCGCTGCCTCTCCCCGGTCACCGCACCCCTCACCGCCCCGCCCTCCAACCCGCCTCCCCAGCCGCTCCGCGGGGGCTCAGTCAGACCCCCACCTCCGCCGGGTGTTCCAGGCCGAAATTGCCGCTGTCATTCAGCATTTACTGATGGACAAGATACTCCAGGGGGCCTGAAAGAGACTCCTCCCTGCTCTTTCCAAGAGTTTACATTCAAAGAACCCAGTCATGGGGCACAAAGGACACACAGACCTGGAAGAGAACCCTCTGGAAAATCTCTTCCCTCCCCCTTCACACACACTCCTGGTTCTGATGTGGATTTGGCAGTTCCACCGCGCTGGCGGTGTCCTTCACGAATTTTCTCCCTAAAGCCCAACAGGGGAGTGTGATTCACAACCGAGGAAATGGACGGACACTGGCTCCTTTCATAGCCCCGAGGCCCCGTGGAACTCCCAGACTCAGCTTTGCAGGACACTCCCAGGACACCGCTTGCTCAGGTCCTCCCCAAACGCCGGGTCTCCCCAGAACTCCGACGGGTGGGGGGCTGCACCTTGACTCTGCCCGGAGAAGGGTGAACTGTGAGTGTCCGGTCTGCAGAGGTCTGCAGATGACACATTTTGACAAGAGCGCAGATTTGATTTTTCAGCTGAAAGGAACTGAGCGATGCAGTGCAGCAGAGGCCCTGGTCAGAAGGTGCAGCCGGGCGATCAGAGAACTTCAATTCCCTTAACAGCTCCGTAATCCCGAAAGATCCCTGAACCCTCAGACTTGTGATGGGGGTTTTCGAAAAAACTGTTTCTTCCTAAAATTGATGAAACTATGAGGATGTTATTTAAATTTTACAAAATATTTACTGCAGCCTTTGTAACCCATCATTGTCTAAAGAGCAAGAAAAACTTGAGAGGGAAGTCACATCAGGTGACCTCCAGTATGCAGCCTTCCCTGGCTCCTCTTGAGCATGTGGCATTGTCGTGCACATGCCAGGCATTTGATAAATGTCTGCAGAATGAGTGAATGCATCAGGACCCGCTGGATTCTGTGATGGCATTACAAACTGCAGTGTTGCCCCCCCCCCCGCCCCCCACACCCCAGTGTGGCAGGCATGGAAGGGAGGGAGCCAAGGCTATGGATGAGGTGTGTTAAGAAGACCCAGCCCCCGAAACAGTGATTTTTTTTTTCTCCTTACCTCATCCAAGTATCAAAGATTAATTTACTTTTCCTTAGGCTCATTAATTTTGCAAACCAGCATTCAGGGGGAGTTTGTAGCATATTAATTCAGAAACTTCTGTCCCGAAACAGCAAACCTCGGGAAGGTAAATTGGGAGCATGTAAGAGGACCTGGATGTCCTAAGACAGGGGTGCCAAACTCATTTTCACTGGGGGCCACGTCAGCCTTGTTGTTGCCTTCAGTTAATTGTAACTACTCCTTAACTAGCGGCAAGGGGCTCAGCACTGCCGCCTGGTAGAAACAAACTGAAGGGCCAGATTCCGCCCGCGGGCCTGGTGTTTGCCACCGGTGTCCTAAGGGATACACAGAGTAACTTTGGGCCTCTGTTGCAGACCCTCTCCGTAGTCAGGCCAGCTGGATGAAATGCAGTCCAGTGGGTTGTGTGCTCAAGGCTGAGGCGAGGCAGAGTGGAAGGAAGAGGTTTCCTCTCAGAGAGACAGCAAACCTTTCAGGTCTTCCTTTTCCTCCTCGCTTTCCAGGCCCATTTGCTTCCCACCGGATACACAGGAGCTCATGGCTGCAGAACCCTACCCAGGCCTGCGAACTTGCTTTCTCTCTCCCTCTGACCCCAAACCTCATCACACTCCCTCCTAACTCAGCTGGTGCCCTGAGCAACTTTCAGTGGGAATGGGGGAGGGGGGAGAAGGCGGGGTGTCACTTTGGTGTGTGTTCCTTTAATTTTCTCAAGGGTCTTCTGAAAATAGTGTCCTCATCTACTCCACCCCTATCACCACATAGACCTCTTTGACTTACAGCTAGGAGCAGCCCTGACAACTCCCTTAGCCCCTTCACCCCAGGGATGCAGCATCTGGGCGCAGGAATATAGGAGCAATCATCTTTCATTTACAGCTCCACGTCGGTTCTCTAAAAAGGGACAGTGGTTATTAGTTGGAAGGTTATCGTGGTTGTAAGGCCCATCCTCACCCTTAGGGCCAGAAAAAAATTATTTCACTCCACAACTATCTCCAGTTGCTTCTCTTCAGGGTGCTCTTGCCAGTGAAGTTTCTCTTTTAGCATCTATGTTTTATCAAATATTCCTCTACAGGTTATATTATGAAACACTACGTTTTATAAATAATAGTGCCACTGGATGACATTCCACCTTTCCCCTACATTTTAAAGATGGGACATGCCAGATTAAATGCAAAGTGATCTAACAGGGACTTTGGGACTGTCATCATTGCTTGCCAGCCCACCTTTCTGAGAGCTCACCACTTGTGAGACACCACCCATCCATTTCCCGTACCTGTTACACATTCTTCCTTACAGGAGAGAGGAATGTTATGATTGAAAATGAAAGGGAATCCTTCTCTGTAGTGTCCTTAATGTTCTGACTTTCTATTTCCTTCCAGGTTACTCTAAAGGGACCATAATTTTAACCAGAGCCTGGTATCTCCTAACCATAACTCCATTTAAAGTCTGAATTTTGAGTCTTAATTCTGGGGCATCCATCACTGGCTTTATTTCCTCCTTCAAATATAAACAAAAGCTGATATACTTTTCATATGATCGTGTCTTCTCTTCTGACCTGCCTGGCTACCTCAGAAATAGAGCATTTTGCTAATAGTAAAAGCCCCAGTTTTTAGCAAAGCAAGTCCTACCTGCGCATTGTCCGACTAATCCATCACAATAAGAGCAGCGATGGTTCTGGAATATAGCTTTATGAAAAACTGCAGCTGACATGCATCACAAAGTCCAACCAAGCTTTTCTGCAGGATACTTTATTTAGCTTCACCCCTTTTATCTCCGTTCACAAGTTCCAGCCTCCTTTTTAACCTTTCTGATTCAAGTTTCTCTCTTGCTTGCAGTTTACCCTACACTTAGAACGGTGTGCCTTACTTTTGCCTCATCCAGAGAACTTTTAAAAACAAAAACCAAACCCGTCGATGGCTAGGTCCCTCCTCTACATTTCATTGTTCTGGGGCGCAGACTGGGCACCAGGGTGTTTTCAGAGCTCTCCGGGTAATTCTAATATGCAGCCAGAGTTAAAAACTGCTGAAATGAGTCATCTCCCAACCAACATTTTTACTAAGTCTTCTCAGAACAGTGAGGTGGCTCCACATTACCTCAAGTAAGCAAATTAAAATACCTAATCCTGTGCTTTAAGACTCTTTGCCAATTGACTAGAATAGTCCCCTTTCAAAACAGCTTAAATTTATCTCCTCCTAAAGCTTCTCCAGATTAGTCTCACCTGGCCGCCCGAAGATTGCTGTTCCCAGTTCTCCACGCATTCCAACTGGCACTGATTTACAAGCTCTTGAACCACAGCTGATCGTGTATATCATTGTTCTAATCTAGCCTCCATGGTTATCTGCCAGAGGCTCCTCTTGCAATCCAGGTCTCTCTGAAGTACCACTAGGTCAACAGAACAAACAGAAATATCATTCTTCGCAGAACTTTCCCCTGTCTACATTCCTTGACACAGTAGCAGCTCATTGTTTTTATAAACGCAATTACAGCCAGCAGTTGTGAGAATTTATGTGTTTGGGGGTTGTTCTTTTATCCCTTACAAAGGAAAAACTATGTCGCTGCATCTCCCTGACTCTCTCCACCACCTGCATTTACTTCAGGCCTGGAGTCTGGCTTTCCCGCCCACCTCCACACCGAAACTCCTCTTTGGGTCACAATTGACATTTTCATTCACATGTTTATTCATTCAGCCAGCCACTTATTACTGGGAAGTGTTGGGAATAAAATAGTTAGCCCTGGCTGGCGTAGCTCAGTGGATTAAGCGTGGGCTGCAAACCAAAGTGTCGCAGGTTCAATTCCCAGTCAGGGTACATGCCTGGGTTATAGGCCATGACCCCCAGCAACCGCACATTGATGTTTCTCTCTATCTCCCTCCCCTCCCTCTCTAAAACTAAATAAAAATGAAATCTTTTAAAATAGTTAAAAATATCAATTTATCCCTACTTACTGGTGCAGAATAATAAGCAATTAAACTATCTGTGATAAGTGCTCTGTCAGAAGCCCTAAGCAGACACAGTCGAATAGTGGGGAGAGCCTTTGCTTAGAGTTCAAGCAACCCAACTTTTCTCTTTCGTTTGAGATTAACCCTCGTACCTTCACCTTTTAAACTTCCCTTTTCCTTCATCTTCCATGACACTATACAACCCAGGAACAACTTCTGCTTCTCTGAGGATTCCTTCCAAAATAAAAATGCCCCACCGAGAAGGAAAGAGATTTTTGAGGGAGAAAGTGGAGAAAAAGAAGAGAACACTACTTCTCTCAAGGATCTCCTGGACCCTTAGGGCTCTATCTTCAATGCTCCCACATGTGTATTACAGTTCTACTCTCCTGGGGCATGTTTGTAACTTCCTGTTGAATATCTCCATTGGATAAGTCATTCACAGCTCCAATGAACATGTCTGAAATAAAATGTATTGCTTCCACCACCCTACTTCACTGTCACCTGCAGGCTTCCCTTGCTCCTCCCTCTCTTCACCTTTCTACCCTCTTCCTAACACAGGCAGCCTGCACCTAGGTCCCTTGGGGTTTGCTTTCTCAAAGTCATGAGAGTGGATTTTCCAAGAAATCATCAATTTCCTCTGGCCCTCCAGGAAGTCTCCTTGCCCAAATGCATGTGGCACCTT